CGGTTTCATTATGAGTTAAGCCTCGCTCTTTCTGTCCACTTGGTATACTAATTGTATCTCAATTAAGTTAGGCCCAGTTAGCTGTGAGACCTATCTGTCAAAACCAATTAGTTTGGAAAATTACCAAAGATATTAGAATAAAAATTCTTTTAATTTAAATCTAATTCAGGTATTTTTTTAACTCAATTATTCGAATTCAAATATTTGTATGACTATCCTGTTTAACGGATTAAGGTTGTCTCTCAAACTCACAATTAGAATTATAAATTTGAAAGAACAGCAAGATATTCTTTGCCATAAAGTAACTCTCCTCTTTCGTTTAGTAGAATTGTTACATAAAATAAAAATAAAATCGACTGCAGATTGATGACTTGTTTGTGTGTATGCTTTTCGTGTAATATTTAATACGTATTTGTTTCTCGTTATTACTGACTCATCAAGGATAGGTCTTAATATTTATGTTAGAACTGTATACACATTCTGCGATGATAACACGATGCGTGTGACAATTATAAAGTTTACAATGTGAATAATGATCGATCCCAAAGATCAGTTTGCATTATTTGACATGATTTATTGTCAATGTCTTATCATTGGCAACAAAGGTATCACTACCAAGTTAATAATACTGATCCAAAGACTTGATATTAATGTTGTGCCGGCGTACTTTCGCTCAGTATGGGATTGTCAGGCGTTAATTTGAATTTTATTATACTCTGGTTATTGATAAACAGCATCATGAGCAATTTCGTTTGCATTTATTTCAGCTAACTATCGCCTATCTGCTGTAAACAATTTCTTGCTAACATCTAACTCAATTCACCTCAATTCGCATTAAATGGGACATAAGTAACTTCCAAACAGGAGTTTGAAAGATAAAAACACTATTTATTGTTCTCGGCTGCATGGATTTGACTATGCATGAAGAAACTGAACAACACCTAACTCTCAGCGGAAAGCACTCCGTGATGCAAAGAAGGAGCATGAAAGTGGGATGCGTTCAAGATCGCATGAGTCTTATGAATCATTAAGCGCGGCGTTGCCGGAGCCTCAGGCATAGAATCATCGACAAGGAGATACCCGAAGGCTAGCTCTTCAAAAGACAATTTCTCTATTCGCTTCTAAACAAGATTGTGCTTTAGAAAAGATTCCTTGCGAAATTGAGAGCGTTTTGGCGAAAAACGATACAGGTAGAACAACAGCCAGTGGCTGTTTAAGGTCGGCTTGATTCAGATGAAGTATAAGCGGCAAAGGACAATATCAGTGGAGTACATTATGCGAGAAATGTTCTGCTATATTGCGTTTCAAAAAAGCTTAATGGTACTTAAACTCGATCTTGTGATGAGTTATTAGGCAGGTCTGGTTCCTTGGGATGTTGTTCTCTTCCTCGCACAAATTTAATCAATTAAAAGGTCAGTTTATATAGACTAAGAACTAAAAGAAAATTTTGGACTCTAAATGTAGCTCATTTCATGTTACTGGTGTGCAAGAAGGAAGGACAGGGTTGGAAGGAGCAAAGATAAGTGAACAGAAAGTGCTCATCTTTGGCCGTATAGCTTCTGCTAAGATATTAGGGCACAGAAAAGGAAGAATGATAAGGAAAGCTGGCTCAAAGGGTCCAGTTGACGAAGAAAACAACATAAGGACAATCAGTGGTTTTTCTTCTGTAAGAAGCTGTATCATGTAAATACTGTGTTAAGGCACTCTTTATCATAAGAAAATACACGTTCGCTTTAGCGTGAATATATTTATAGGGTGTACCCGGCTTCTTGCTTTGGTCTGTTCTGAAGATATGTTAGCTTCATACCCCCTACTATAACATTTGCTTGGTGTTTAAACTACTGGGTGACTATAAAAAAAATTAATAACTAAAATACTGTGCACACACTAATAAGTGCTTCTACTGAAAAACGAGTTATTGAGTCATAGAGGTCTAACACAGTAATATTGATGCAAATTGGTAAATTTTAAATTTTCCTAATTCATAGTTAAGTGACAATTCAAGTCACCTCTTTTATGATAACTCCAAAAAATAAAATTCTAAGAATATTTTTCAAGCTAGATACTTTATTCAAGTTTACTTAACTTTAAATTAACAAATATGAATTTTTGCAGTGCTTAACTTAGAGTTGAAAATATTTTCACAAGTTATCATTGAATTATACTTTTTTTTAAAAGACTGATACTTACACATATAAATTATAAAAAAAACTACTATTAATTTAAAAGATAAGTGCGAAAAATAGGCCCACAAAAAAAAACTCCTAATTCAAGGTGATTCTACTCTATAAAAGCCAAGTGCTGAGCATTAAGCCCAAGGAGTATCTCTATATACTTAATCGACCTCAGCCGCGAATTGGTTGAATTCATCTGGCGCCCACAACTCGTTAAATGTCACTTAGAAGCCCGTGTAAAATTAGAAACCATGCACCCAGATTATGAAGAGCTGGAAAAAATTAATACATATATTACACTGTAACACATTGTTTTTGATATATTGTTGTTCGTATGATTATGGTCTTCGTCTTCTGAAAAACAATTTTTGATCAAAGACTTGAAAAGTTATTCTAAAAGCATAGGGGGGAGTTCGGGCATGTTGCTTTTCAAGAATTTTAATTAAATTTCTAAGATTTGACTGTTTTGTAATTGCTATAGATGAAAAAGAATTCTGAAGGGGATTTATATTGGAAGTTATAGTATGAACGTGTTTCCCCTGATTATTAACCTAGCGTTCAATTAGAGTTTAGAATATATCAAGAAATCTGTTATTTACTTCTGGTACTTGCGCCGTGCTTGATTTAACTGGCATTGACCCCGAATTTTGTCGGTATTTCACTGCAAAACCGGAACGGGGGCACGACTATAACGTCCACCTATGGCTAGGGGTTTAAAGCTTGTTTGTAATGCCGCTAAATAGCAACCGCAGATCCGCTGGCGATAGTTGAGTTAGGGATTTTCCTTTTTTCTTTGCTAGACTGGACAGGGGTTTCGGATAGGTGGAGTTTAGGTATGGGCGTATTTGATAATCAGTATTTTATTACAATTCCTTATACCCTGCCATTACGATTTACTAGTAAATGAAATATTACCACTATATTGCTTTTTATCTGTTAATTGCACGGTTAATGTGAATAAATCTCAAACTCGCAATATCTCAACATAAACCAAGAAAAACCCCTGTTGATAATGAACCGCCGATGGAAGCCAAAGGATTCTTTCAAATAATTCAAAGAGGCCCAATGGAAATCAAGAGAAAAATGCCAAGCCCGCCAAAAGTCCAAGGCCAAGCAAGACACATAGCCCAAGAAGCAAAGATTCGTGAGCGGCGACAGCACTAGGAAAAGCTAGGCATCGATGCCTGCATCGGATGGAGGGCATCGATGCCCGCCGCATGCGATGCCTGTATCGGATGCCCCGCGATGCGATACACGTGCCGGGGCCGGGCCCTACGATGCGGGATCGATACGCGTCCAGGCAGTGTACATCCATGGCTATTTTGTTGGTTTTGGATAAGATCTTGATCCAATGGTCTCATCTCACCGCTGATGGTTTACTATAGAATAGAGGGTAGAGAGCTGAGGGGTTAGAGGTTTGTGAAATATTTGTAAACGTCCTTTTGGAGAGGACGCTATCTTGAAAGAGAAGGCCTTTCCAAAATTGATAACTTATTTGCAATTAATAGAAAATAATTTTTCTTCCCTCTTGATTGGTAAATTTGTTCTTGTCCCTCCCACTCTTGTTGAATGATGATGATGGAGATGAGATGAGCCAATTGAAGGTTGCACTTCTTTTCCTTGCTTTATTTCTTTTTGTAATTTTCTTATTATTGCTTAGTAGATTTAAATTCATGCTTGAGTATAGAATTACTTTCGTTCGTCTTTTTATTTTCTTTTTTGCACTTCGCTTAATTTGTAGAGTAGATTTATTTTTCTTTGCATTAATTTTTTGCAATTATTTTGTAGTTTGATTTTATTTCTTTGTAATGATTTATTTCTTGTTCATGTCAGTTTTAAGATTTTGCTTTCTTTGTAATTTTGTAATTAGTCTCCATATTCTTGGTTTTAATTTCTTAAGATCGTGATTTTTCTTGTAAGAACTTTAGAATTGTGATGAACACAGTCTAATTTCTTTATAGTTGTATGAAATTATTCTCTTGTACTTAAAATGTTCATGGTTTAGTCGATAATCACTAGAGAACTAAATCGGTAGACAGAAGAATTTGATAATTAACTTCTTATGGTTTGATCAGGTTAGTCTTGATCGAATCTACGGATTATTATTATGTTGATGTTTTTACATCCGAATAGTAATTTTAACCTTAGATGATAATGTTTGAGTAGGTTCACTTCCTTAAATGTTTTGATAATCTAGCTTCCGCTCTCTTTTGATTTTGTTAATCTCTTTGAATTAATCATGGCTATATGGTTTTAGATCTCAAGTTTTATGATGTAGATCTAACAAGTAGGCTTCATCAAAATGTTTAAATCACAATATCTTGTTTCTTTCCAAACAGTGAATTGAGTTGAAAATTAATTTTCCCACTGAAACAAATAACAAAAGAAATATTTTCTTAGAAAAGGTTAGAGAACTTCGAAAATGTACTTTTGTAAAAGAATGATTTTTTCTATAATTACAGGACAACAATCAAAGTCTACTGTTCATATTGACGGGTAAAATACATGGACTTCTTTTGTGTTTTTTTCCCTTTTTTTTGAAATGGTTGAAAATACATGGACTTATGCTATGGATTTTCCCTCCCTTTTCTTAAAACAGATAAAAATACATGGACTTTGATATGAACTTCACAAGCTGTCAAGCTGAACACCTTTGAGATACATGATAGCAGTGATGTAGATTTTGTGACTGTCTTGCATATAACTTAATTTTAAACATTGTTGAAGAAAAAATGCGCAAAAAGTAATTAGCCTTGAGTCCCACAGGTTCCATGATAATCAGAGAGTTTGCCACTTTGCATTCGCTAATTTAAGCAGTTAAATATATGATCAGAAGACAACATGCAAACAAATATGCAACCACAAGGTTCTCAACATAGTTTAATCAGCTTATGACCCTCGTATGAGGGAAAACAAACGAGTACTGATGTACCAAAGGGGCAAACCATCAAGAAAGAGGTAAAAACTAAACCGAAACAAGAGGATCGAATGGCCAACAAGATTCAGAACACAATTGAGGGTCACGTTTAGCTATAGATATGCTTCTGCAGTGTTCAAGTCATCCAGAATGCTCATTTTCACTTCCTCTGAGAGCGCTGCAAAAGGGCCAGCTTTCGAATAGAAGCTCGCGAGGGACCTGATTGCTTTCTCCAGTGCAACATATGATTCCTGGAGTGAATGATAAGACGAAACAGATGTTTGAGATCATAATTCAATCAAACTGTGTCTAGAAACGAAGTATATTCTCTCTATTTTCTGAGAAATAAGGGCAACTAGCGGCTAATATTAATGATAAAAAAATGCACATTAGAGGTTCATCATACTCCTGGTATGATCACAGCTTTACGAGTTTGACCAACGAAAATTTGTGGTCCTAACAGTAAAACATCTGCATAATTGGCTAATCTAGAACACACGAGAGCTGGCTTGGATTTATATTATCATTTATGGTAAAAGACTTTGAGCGTGAATGATGATGATGATGTTCATTCTCCGGTAAAAAGGTGCGGTTAAAGTTACATTATATCCAACTACATGAAGCTAATTTGAAGCGTGTTTGAATTTGAGGCGTCATCCATACCAAATGAACTGAAATATTGATTATACAAACACCTACTTAGCACGCATGCCATTGTGTGAAGCTAACTGGTCTGTTTGGATGGAGGATAGAGAGGGGGAGGGGAAGAGAAATCTAATTTTAACATTGTTTGGGAGTTCCATTTAGAAGGGGGGGGGGGGATTTGAGCCAAAATCTTACACCCTAAATTACGGTGTAATGAAAAGGAAGGGGAACTTTTTGTTGTGCGCAGCGGAACTCGAAAGCCAAATAGCGCACGAACAAGAACGAGAAAGATCACAACCATAAACACAAACACAAATCACAATCACATCAAGACAAACCAATTTACATGGTTCGGCAGGTTGCCTACGTCCACGAGGCAAGAAGAGGGGGGGTTATTATTAGAGATAAAGAGAATTACAAATATGGTTTCAAATCTCACCAAAAACCCTCAAACAAACCTCTCTAGATCTCTCACAAATCCTCCCACAAATGATGCAACAATCATCTCTCAAAGACTGTTCAAATCGTCCTTACTTAACCCTAATTAATCAAGTTTAGGGTTATATATCAGCTCATAACGAAACGGGTCCGAAATCCAAACCCAACTCAAAACCCGATTAGCGGTCGACCGCCAAAACCGACGCGATCGACCGCTCAGCAATCGACAGAACACTAAATTCCTACAGGGTATTGCCAGTCGGATCGAACCCAGCTCCAGAGAAGAAATCGATTACAGGGTCCGTGCGGTCGACCGCCTCACCTCCAGAAATCATCCTGGACCTCGTGCACGTTTCCGGTCAACCTAGGTGACTCCGCGGTCGACCGGACAACCTAAAAAACTGTTTTATGCCATTTTTCTGAACTTCAATACTTTTTTCCCTTCCTTCCCTTCCCTAACCTAAGTCTATCTACCAAACACACTGAACGTATTTTAACTCGCGTTACTTGTAAATATCACATAACCACAGCTAACCTCAGTCTATGAGAACCGTGCCCATATGTAAATGCAAGTAAGTCAGGTGAGATAGTTGTATGTAGGTAGGAAATTAAAGATCAGGTAAGACCTCTTGGCTTATGGCCCGCTGTCCTCTCCACCCATTCAAGTAGTCTCTAATTGACTCCTTGGCAGCATCAGCACTTCTCCTAAACTTGGCGACATCCTTGCCATCTTCCTCCAGAGACTCTCGGAGAGTCTTCACCACTTCCCTCGCAGCCTTCAAGTAAGCCTTGGGCAGTACCTTTCCTGACTTGGTTTTCTCATTCGGATCGAACAGGGATTTGATAGCACCAACGGCTCCAGTTTCTCCCTCCTCGGCCCCCTGAGACCTCCGACTCTTTTCCTCCGCTGCAGCTTTTACAGGGACGCAGCTTGAAGTGAGAGCCGAAACGAGAGAAATTCCACCGCATAATAACACGGCACGCCTTCTGCTAAACGAGGTCTCCTGACCAGACTCCGAAATAACGAGAGGCTTTCTCAATTGCAGCTTGTCTGCTCTGTTGGGGAACAGAGTAAGTTAACAAGGGGATGAATAATTGTTACATCAAAGATCGCTAAAAGGTATTTCTTAAAAAAAAACTAATCAAAATCAAACCGAAGAAAAAGGGAACAACTATATGGAGGCCGGGCTCCAAAATCTAAGAACTAAAATGCGAGATACATATCTGAAGGGATAAACGGAGGAGCGGAGTGGTTTGAAAGTCATAAGTATTTACGCTTGGACAGGCTTCGGTGGTGTCTTCCAACGACAATCTGGGCTGAGGCACACCAGTGGCAGCAACCCTCCAGCAACAGGAATGAAGAAGCAACCATCCTAGCAACTGATCCTGAACATATAACACACGTAAGCGATGCCATTTCATTCTCAAAGAAGAACAAAAGATCAGCACAAAATAAATATCAGAAACAAAATACAGACACAAGCACCGGCGGCATGGATTTCCATTCCCAATCATTACTGGATGGATGGGGGGGGAGGAAGCAAGAGATGACATTAATTAAGATTAACGCAAGAGACGAAGCTAACCAGGAGGAAGAGGGCGTAGTGTCTTTTGAAATCCCTAGCTGCTGCTGCTGTTGCTGGCCCTGGCTGGATCCTTGGCCACAAATAATTAATGACCGTCCACCGCACAGGAAAAAAAAAGGCTCGGTGATAGAATAGAATTTGGGTTATTGGGTAATCGGGGGCCATACATACCCATTAGCATCAGAAGCCGACCCGTCATTTGTCGGGTTCGGATCATGACAGAGCATATCCAATTATCCAGTCTGTCACGCCCCAACTCACCTGCTGCAGAATAGTCCAGAAATTGGCTCTTCTTCTTTACATACATTTAGTCTGCCCACAGGGGAGAAAGCTGTCGTCTTTGTTGAAGTCTCCACCCCCCTTGCTCTCTCTCTCTCTCAGGGGGTGAGCCTTTCTTCATTACATTGATTTATCTATTTATTTTGCTGTTTTTATCTCTTTGGTTTGTGTTTGATCGAGGATCCGGACACTGGTTACTTTTCTACTGTTCTTGTTTATAGAGTTCAGTGTTCAGTATTAAATTTGGCTTCTTCTTTACCTGAGAAAATTTAAGATGTTTATTAGCCGAAACTGGGTTTATTCTATTCTTTGATGATTTTGGATGGAGATTTGTGGATCCCACTCCAACGCCTTGTTTAAATATATATATATTTTTTTTTTGTTGAATAATAGAGCAGTGGGAAGTTTGCGTGGGATTCAGTTGCTGGTTGGCTGTTTGGGGGTTAGATTATACGTTGATGACGGAAAGGTTCAATTGCTGGTTTAATCTGATTGATGACCACCTTTTCGTATGTAATTTTAAGGGTATTATATGTTCCATGTTGTTATAGTGTGACCTAATCATATTATTGGAGATGTTCATCTTTTACTAGACAGGAGAAGATGGTCATTGGAAAGAGTTCGTAGTTGTCGGAAATTTATTTGTATTCGGAGTAGTGTGGTTTTGACTTTATTAAGAAAATCTCCTCTTTTTCTATCCTCTGGTTTTTCTTTTTTCTTCTACTTGAAATTTTAGTGGGAAAAAACTCTTTTCTCAGTTCACATATATTAATGTGGTTGTTATGAAACTTTTTGCATTTGATTTGATCTTTTTTATTACGACTTTTCTTCGTCGTGTTACCCATATGGAGTTGGCCTCATAGCGGAGCAAATTTTAGTTAAGTATCGTGTCTTTTGCTATGATCTAGTGTAAACGCGTGCCCGTCCAGTTTTCTTGTGCTGCAATTAATATTTCAGATTCATGGTCATACATATTTAAGTTCCCCAAAGGAAAATAGTATCTTCAAGCTTCAATAATATAAGTGTATGGTGTTGAACATGAGGTAATTCTAAAGTGCTGCTTATTGTTGGTCAGATTTTGAGCTTCAGTTTTGCATAGTTCATTTTCATTTGCTCGAAAATCATGTAGTTTGACACAAAAAATTATTGAAAAAATATTAGACAGTACCTAAAATTGGCCCTCGTGAGGAGTTTTTGAACTTTAGTGTCTGTTACTCTCTTGAAAGCCGTCTTATTGGGACAGCCTATTTTGGTTCCCATCAGCTTCAGCATTAGTCCTCCACTGGCCTATGTTTGATAGGGATTCTTCATACGTGATTACAAAAACTGTAGTATAACACTTACCATTTCATTTGTATGCTTTTATTCATTTACTGAAAGTTGAACCATTGTCTCTGTTCTTTTTATATTCCAGATAAGCTTTAGGGAGTTTGGTCTCTTTATTTATGTCTGGAATTGGCATAAGTAGATGTTCATCATCTATGTATTCTTTTTCACTTTCTTCCCACCTATGACTAGTATTTTACTTTGAAAAAAAACTTGTTTATGATCCAATTACATATTCGGTTGGCATAATGTTACCTTTTTTTTTGCTATATGTTCATACTTAGTTGTTTTTCATTTTATTATTTCCAACTGAACCAAGTATGCTTTGAAATGCCTCCGTATCAAAGTCTTTTGTCTTTCGGAAACTACTGCCCAGCTTTAGTTATCATTACTCTTTACTCCCAATGTAATTTGCTAATTAGTATGCGTTATAGTATGAGAGCCATAAAACTGATGGAAATTTATGGATTCTTTACCATTTGCATCTCCCTTTAAGGGATAATTAATATTAAAGAATCAAATTGTACATCAGATCCAAACACGATATGGTTTTTGTCTACTTGTTTTCCTTTTATTCTTTCTTGCAGAAAACGGTCATCGGTATAGAAGGATAATTGAGAAATATAGCTTTTCTGTGTTAAACTGTGAATTCTTACTTAACTGTGCATATGAACATCTACAAACTGTGCTGCTATTATATGGTACACCATGTGATTAGTTCTTGTATGATTACTTCAATGTAGCTATTTGATATAATAAGTTTTAGAATACATGTCTAAGTAATTCTTTTCATCTTCCACCTGACACCATCATGAAATTGAACTGTAAGAGGCTTTTAAGAAATAAAATGTTACCCTCTGGATGTTTTTGTTATGTATATTGTCTATTCCTTTTTGTAAGGATGAATGAGACCTACAATTCCATGCATATAGCTTACATTATCATCCATTTTGGCTAAAATTTACATATATTATGACTGCATATGACACTTAAATTGCATTATGCTCAAATTGATTACTCAAATTTATTTCCAGTAGAATAAAACTTAAAACTCTCAATCGAGGTGTGCACATGTCCAGTAGATATGTTTGGAAGAACTGAATATGTTCTAAACTTTTGATTCTTGCAGATAGTTCGATAAAATGGGTGAAGTGAGTCATACAATTAAGATTTCTAAGGACGTCACTGAAGTATGAGCTTCTCTTTTTCCCTGAATGTTGTTTAACCACTTCAAGTTCAATCTTTAGTTCTCTAAGTATTTCCTGCAATATCTTAGTTGATCGGGAAAACTCCGTTGGTGTATCTCAACAATATCGTGAGTGGCTGCAAGGCCCGTATTGCTGCTAAGCTTGAAATGATGGAGCCCTGCTCCAGTGTTAAGGACAGGTGTCAATTTTCTTTCTCACATTTTCTAAAGAAACTTATCTTTTTAAACCAACATAGTTTTTTTTAATGTTGGTAGAATTAATTTTTCTGGCAGGATTGGATATAGCATGATTACTGATGCTGAGGAAAAAGGCCTTATCACTCCTGGGCAGGTAACCAACTTGTGGATTTTCACTAGCATATAATCAATACCTTCTTCATACAAAGGAGGGAAATAGACAAATATTAGGCTTACAATTAAAGTGACAGCTTGCAAATTGGACAGAAGAAGAACTAACCATCAAGGGGACACTTTTAGAATTTCATATGTCAGTTCCCATTATTGCATTTTTAACACCTCATCACAATATTTCTTCTCTGCTTTCACATTATCTTGAAGCTGTAAAGGAATATCATTTACCTCAGCTTAGCTGACTATTCAGCATATGCAGATTTATTCAAATACTTCAGAAGCAATTTGAAAAGCCATATTTTTTTAATGCCTTGTTTTCTAACACCTTGCAACCTATGAGTACAAATTTCTAAAACCTGTGATAAGTTGTATGTTTTATTTCTGAAAAGTTTTCAGATTTTGGGGAAGTGAGTACATTAAATTTTTTGGCTAATTTTATGAGCAAACCATTCATCTTAGCTGCCTACTTCACAGTCCATACGATTTTGGAGGGTTGCTATTGAGAGGTTAAACTGCAAGAACGATGAGATATACTTACCAATCAGCCAAGTGCCTATCAAAGCATAAGGCATGACCCTCTGTTGCTCATAGTTAAAGGGTGTTTGGGGGAGCTTATTTTTTCATCAAAGTAGCTTTTAAGCTAGCCTTTTGATATCTACATGTTTGAAGACATCTCAAATAAACTAGCTTATATAAATCCTATTTAAAAATTTTGGGTTCCCCAGCTTTTGAAAAACTATCTTATAAGTCTTGCCTAAATAAGCTATGTTTGGCCAAACTGACTTTTCTACTGATATAATTTTTGTAGAATTTTTATCATAAAAGTCAAAATCCTCCGAAAGCTACCATAGGTTATAAGCTTCAGTTAATACGCCCTTCCAAACACCTTCTTAGTTACACAGGCTAAGAACTCACTGATCTATATTGGGGTGACTCCAGGTTCGTAGTTACTGCTTGTAAATTTAGGTCATCTATTGAGCTTGTCTACTTCATAATTAATCCTATTTTAGTGGGAAAAATCTTAGGTGATGATGGTGATGATCTAAGGTTTGTAGAACGCTTTCATGATTTGTAGGCTCTTCTGCATTTTCCTGAATTTCTATATATGATTCCTAGACAAACTATTCCTCAATCCTTTTAATTGATTGCATGTATCAGACTGAGCTTTACTATGTTTCTTTCCAGTTTCAAATAAGATTGTTAGTTGATACACTTACCAGTCTCAATCATGGTTGAAACTTGCTATTTTTAATCTTGATGATCTCAAAACTTGTTATTTTTGCATGCTGATCTAGGTAGTAGTATATGGTTAAAACTTGTTATTTTTAATCTTGATGATCTCAAAAGTTATTATTAAGAGATCTAATATTTGGAGGTAAAGGAATATTGGTGGAAGAGATCAAGAAATATATTTTAAAAAATTTTAAATTTAAATTTATTACGAGCAGCCAACTGCCCTTTGTCAGACAGCTGGCTGAAAATGCTATCTCATAATAATAATAAAGATATGAACTAATCATTTCCTTGGTAGTTTGGATTTAACATTGTTCACAATCGATCTCTAGTCTTTTTATTTTGTTCTTAACTTTCGTTTTTATAGGAGTTGAAGGAGTAGGAACCTAATCTGTAAATATAATAGCCTAGTAAAACAAGCACTATGGTAATATTTCTAGCCATAATGAACATCAAGCAAATATATCTTGGCTGATTAGATTACGTTTAGGGCTGTGGCTTCATGGTTCCTCATGTAATAGGTTTTGACTGAAGTGCTAATCATATTTGTATTATAGCCTAGTTTCAGATAGTCTAGTAAGTCTTCATAGATATAATAGTTATATATGACAGATGTAGATATTGGAACCTTATCGACATATTTAACTGATACCTTCCCTTTTTGTGCTTGTTTTATTGTTTTAAAGAGTGTCCTGATTGAGCCTACCAGTGGTAATACTGGCATAGGGTTGGCTTTCATAGCAGCAGCGAAGGGTTATAAGCTTGTCCTAACAATGCCAGCGTCCATGAGTCTCGAGAGAAGGATCATTCTTAAAGCTTTTGGTGCTGAGTTGGTTCTAACTGATCCGGTTTTGGGAATGAAAGGAGCTGTTCAGAAGGCTGAAGAGTTGGCTGCAAAGACACCCAATTCATATATTCTCCAACAATTTGAAAACCCTTCCAATCCAAAGGTACTTATATGTGATCACTCTCTAGAATTTCTCTGTCTATCACGAAGGATATATTTGAATCTCATGATTTGCTTATAGATTCATTATGAGACAACTGGGCCTGAGATATGGAGTGCAACTGATGGGAAAATTGATGGCTTTGTATCTGGCATTGGAACTGGGGGTACAATAACCGGAACAGGGAAATATCTTAAAGAGAAAAATCCTGATGTCAAGGTTAGTGCAATTAAGACTATATAATAATATTGTTAGTTAGCTCCTTTCCGCGACATCTGACCTTCAAATGGTTGGTCGTGTACTTGCTATGTTTTTTTGTGTGATATTTATGCTGTTCTAATATCCTTATGTTGTCCGTTTCTTTGTTTAAGCTTTATGGTGTGGAACCATCAGAAAGTGCTGTTTTATCAGGAGGAAAGCCAGGTATGTTGCTCCTGGGTTCTTGGGATCCTTTTTCTAAAATTTCTTAAGAATACATCACTAATTTTTGTTCATCTTATCAATCTATTCAATAACATAGGTCGGCCTGTCTGCCTGATGTTTGGAGACCCATAATTTTTGTATTTGTATGCCAATTCATATATCCATAGCTTTGACATGACATCTGCTAAGTCAAAAGTTGGTCAATATCTATATGATGCCTGCTAGATCTTCCTGTGTAGTTAAATGTCATCAAGGTTGAAAATAAAAATTATGAGGAACTTGTTATAGTCTGACTCATATAATGATACGAGTCGCCGTGCGAGCACCTTTGATCGCGGAATTATCAAAGATGTCTTTATGAAGAAAATAGCAAAAGACAAGAACAATTCAATATGGCGAAGAAAAATATCTTCTCTAGATTATGAAGAACAATATATTACAAATCTCTTTCTCTCAATCTCTCTGGAATAAAAAACATCTCTATTCTCTAAAACTCCCCCGTTCTCAATAGGGTTTTGTTTAAATACAAACCCTAAAACCCAATCCGGCTAGGAATTAACTTCAGCCCAGACCCGCTATCAGTCGACCGATCTAACCCGTTGGTCGACTGATCGCGAACATGCACGACTTTATCGGTTAACCGACGCAAGTCAACGGTCGACCGACGCAAGTCATCAGTCGACCGATAAGAGGTTTTTTTTGTGTTTTCAAATCTGCATTTCGTCAGTTGTACTGACTTGCGCTTCTATTCTCAAGCTATCATGAGAATCATCTATCCTCAAGCTCTCATGAGGATCATTAATCTCCCGAGACAAAAAAGATTCATATGTATCACGGCTCTCCCCTTTAGGAACTTAAAGTCTCATTCAAGTTAGAACTTTAACTGAAGAAATTCTCGAGCTCTTCCTTTGTTGAACCACTTGGCCTTACTAGGAACCTGACCTTGACGTCCAACCAGAAACGACTCCTTCGTCCCCCGTCTAGTCGTAGTCATCTTCCGCTCCAATATGCAATCCTCTTTCAGTGGCTCCTCTCTGTCAAACCACAAGTCTTCAACATAAGGCAAGATTATTTTATCGTCACCCTCATTGTCCAATAATAGAGGCTCAAACAACTTTAAATACTCAGCATTGATTACCGAATACATGCCTAAGTAAGATGGTAAATCCAGATTGAAGGCGTTGTCACTGATCCGATCAATAATTTAAAACGGACCATATCGTAAAAGCTTCAATTTCTTTCCTTCTCTCTTTAGCCGCTCCTTACCTAACTTCAACCATACTATATCACCTTTGTCAAAGTTACAAGGAACCCGATGTTGATCATGTTTCACCTTGTACTTCGCTTGTGACTTCTTCAACTGTGTTTTAACTGCGACGTGAATATGTGCAATCTTCTCCAGAAATCGCTGAGCCTTTTGTCTTTCGCTCCCTTCTATGCTGTCGGACGTAGCATCACTAGAAAATACTAAATCGAACGAACTTGGAGGTAAGAATCCGTAACAAGTCTCAAATTATGACTTTCCCGAAGATCCGTGACTAGCCCTGTTGAAAGCAAATTGAAGATATGGTAAGCTCTCATCCCGTCTTGGGATGCCTGGAATTATACCACGTAACATGTGAACCATAGTCCGATTAACTACTTCCGTTTGTCCATCTGTCTGTGGATAAAAGGTCGTGTCCGTTTTCAATCTGGTGTCCATTTAACTCCACAAAGAATCCCAAAAGTGCCTAAAAAACCTGCTATCCCGATTCGAAATAATCGAACTCGGCAAACCAAAGTGCTTTCACACATGCTTAAAGAATAACTGCACTGCACCCGCTCCCGTCACTGCCTTCTTACAAGGAATCAAGATCACCACAATAAACAAATAATCATGTCCGTGCTTGGTCGTTGGCAACCCTCTTAGGAAATCTATAGAGATACTCTCCCACGGTCTAAAAGGCACTGGCAACAGTAGATACAATTCCCGTTTTTTGTTAGAAGTTTTTGATGTGCAACATAGCTTACACCCTCCAACATACTTGGTAACATCCTCTAACATCTTTGGTCAAAAGACATGGCATCGAAAATTGAGAAGCGTCTTTTGAATCCTAAAATAACATTGCACACGCGATGTATATGCCTCTCTAATCCACTACAACCGTTTGTCATCCTTCGGAATGCAAAGTAATGTCCCACAATACAACAAATCATCTGCTCCGAGCTCATACTCCCCCTTCCGACCTGCTTTCACCTACTCGAACACACTGGCGAAGTTTTTGATGGATGTGTACATCTGTACATACTCCAAAGAAGCCAATGACTGAATACGCGTCGCCACCAACAAAGCTCTAACTGACGGTCGAGATAGCATATCGGCCAACTTGTTAGTCGTTCCCTTCTTGTACCTAATGATGATGTTGAACGCCATCAAATAGGACATCCACTTCATGTGCCGTGCCTGTTGTAGCTTCGTCTGGGCATGTAGAAATTCTAATGATTTGTGATCCGAGTGCACAACCACCTCCTTACCCAACAGGTACACCCTCCAATGTTTGATCGCCTGGTAGAGTGCATAAAACTCCTTATCGTAAGTTGGATAGTTTTGATTAACACCCGTAAACATCTCAGAATGGTACTCCACCGGCTTCCCATCTTGCGTCAACACGGTGCCCATAGCATAGCTAGAAGCGTCGGTCTCTACCTCAAAGGTTCTCTGTAAATTAGGTAACGTCAACACCGGTGCCTCCGAGATCTTCTTCAGTAACTGAAAAGCCTCCTTATGAGCCCGACCCCACTCGAACTAAACCTTCGCCTTAGTAAGACCATGTAGCAGTGCCGCATAATTAGAAAAGTGTTGAATAAGCTTGCGTAAATATTGGCAAGCTCCCATGAAGCTTCTCACATCCGTTACTGTTTTTGGCATCAGCTATTTCGTGATAACCGCAACCTTGCTTGGATCTATCCTCCGTGATCCTTCCCCACGATAAAGCCGAAATACACGAACTTGTCTATCCCAAACTCGCACTTTTTTTCATTGAGCTTCAGCTAGCCGTCCCGCGGTACTTCAAACACCTTCTCGACATGAACAAGATGCTCCTCCCACGTTCTGCTGTACACTAAGATGTCATCAAGGTAAACTATCACAAAATCCTCTATAAAAGGTCGTAGCAAATCATTCATCAGCCTCATAAAGGTCGTCGGAGCGTTGCACAACCCGAACGGCATCACCAACCACTCGAACGTCGATACTCTCATCATAAACATGAATCTTCACTCTAAAGTCAATCTTCAAATTCTGAAAAGAACCATTGCCTCCTTGATGTGGAATAGTCTTGACGGCTTCGACCTCCTCTTTAGAGTCCGCTTCCTCGCTGTCGCCGTCGGATTTTGTAGGTTGCGTCTTTGGCCCCGTCATAGATTCCCCCTTCTTGTCGCCTCCTTGGATGAGATCGACGATCTTTGTGGGAGTCGAACTAATTGTCTCGATTTGTTTCTGCACCGCATCAAGTCTTGATGAATTTCCGCTATCCGCCATCTTCTTCTTTCTTGATTTTTGGACTTTTTTCAAAGAAACAAGATTCTCATCTAGCTTCTTGTATTGCGATTGAGTAAGGACCAAACACAGGATACGCCTTTCACAGGATCTGATTGTTCTTATACCAACTTGATACGAGTCGTCATGCGAGCGCCTTTGATCGCAGAATTATCAAAGATATTTTTATAAAGAAAATAGCAAAACACAGGAACAGTTCAATATGACAAAAAATACTTTCTTTAGATTATGAAGAACAATAGATTACAAATCTCTTCCTCACAATCTCTCTAGAATAAAGAACCTCTCTATTATCTAAAACTCCCCCGTTCTCAATAGAGTTTTGTTTAAATACAAACCCTAAAACCCAAACCGGCTAGGTAGTAACTTCAGACCAGACCCGCTATCAGTCGACCGATCTAACTTGTCGGATGACTGATCGCGAACGTGCACGACATGTACGACTTTGTCGGTCGACTGTTCCTCTTAGCAGTCGACCGAGCAGAAAGTCTTCCACAACTCAGGGTTCTTATCGGTCGATCGATCCTCTTATCAGTCGACAGAGCAGAAACTCATCCCGAGCTCCGGGATCATCATCGGTTTACCGACGCAAGTCATCAATCGACCAATAAGATGTCTTTTCTGTGTTTTCCAATCTGCGTTTTGCCAGTTGTACTGACCTGCGTTGCTATTCCCAAGCTGCTATAAGAATCATCTATCCTCAAGCTCTCATAAAGATCGCTAAGCTCCCGAGGCAAAGAAGATACACCTGCATCATATAAGCAAGTGTTGCTTGACCCTAGTACATATTCATGCTTCTCCTATAACTTGAAAAAGTTTGGTCGTTCAATTTTGATATGCAGCTGTGTCTGCTTTATCATCTACAGCCGTTATGTTGTTTTGTTATTTTCACACCTTTTGTTTCATACAGTTCTGAAAGATAGTGTGTTCTAAAAATGAAAGTCGCCATCATAGAGTTTTTTCTCTCAAAACGCTAGTCCTAATATTTGATTGTCATATTTATATCATAGAATTATATCCTTACGTAACTGTTCCTAGCAGTTCAAGCTTGAAATATGGTTTTTCATATAATAGATGAAAATGAGCATATGGCATTTGATAGGATTGCTTATATTTTGCAATTTTCTGTTGTTAACTTATCCAAACAAAAAGAGTATCATGTGACGAGACAGATATGGGGTGTTTGGCATGGTATATCGCTGGATGTAGAACCAACATCATTTTTCTAAGACATGCAATTAATATTTATATAAATCTATCTTTTGAGTTTCATTTTTATGTAAGGGAACTACTTATCCTGTTAAATGAGCATATGGGATCTGATCAGATTGCTTGTATTTTGCGATTTTTCTGTTGTTAACTTGTGGACATAAAAGAATTTCAATTTTTGAAGCATGAGGCGTTTGACATGGCAATATGAAACCAATATTTATATTATTTTGGAGTCGAGCTAGGCTACTATTAATATTACCAACACGTGATCTACTACACATGAATTACTTATGAACGAAACTTTCAAAGGATTTTGATGTGTTTTCTATCGGACAAATTTTCAAAACCAACCTATTTCCACATTTTATCCCAAAAAAAGACCTGCTTTGAACTTATTTTCAAAAACCGACCTGGTTTCAGCCCTGGCGCTGAAACCATGTCAGTTTTTGAAAAAAAATTTTGAAACTTCACGGGAGTTCAACTCCCATGAAGTTTAGTAAATCTGCTAAACTTCACGGGAGTTCAACTCCCGTGAAGTTTCATAGTTCAAAAAAAAAATTTAAACTATGAAACTTTACGGGAGTTGAACTTTCGTGAAGTTTAGTAAAGCTGCTAAACTTCACGGGAGTTCAACTCCCGTGAAGTTTCAGAAGCTTTTTCACAAAAACCGACCTGGTTTCATCGCCAAGGCTGAAACCAGGTCGGTTTTTACAAATAAGTTAAAAACAGGCTGTTTTTTGGGATTAAATGTTCAAATAGAGTGGTTTTGAAAATTTGTCCGTTTTCTATCATGTATCACGTGGCGAAAAATTAAGCAACTTTATTAAAATACCAAAATGTTGATTTTGATGACATTAATGCATGGGTTGATGATGTTGAAATCCTTTAAAATTTTATTTCTAGATAGTTCATGTATAGTAGGTCACATCTACCGGTTTGGATTTTTATTTTTGGACTCCTAATTCTAAAATGGGTTGATAAGATCTGCATGTTGGATACTATTAATAATAGTCCAGATCAACTCTTATGGAGTTGAGACATGCGTTTAATATATAAATTTATACTTGAGTTTCCTTGTCATGTAAAGCAACTGCTTATTCTGTTAAATAGAAAAGAAACTATTGGACATTAAGGGGCAAATAAGTTATTTTTTTTCATGTCAAAATGTATAGGCAGACCAATTTTAACCTAAGAAAAGTTTCATATTATACGATTCTGATTAGGAGTAATTTATTCTAAGGTTAATTGCTAATAGCCCCCTAGTATCACCCACTTTTGTGCGATTGGAGCCCTTGTAGTACTGCCCTATGTGCGAACATGCCCCCTTAGCGAGTGAACTTTTTAGACTTTTTTGAAAGTTCAGGGAAAAAAAGAACAAGAACAAGAAGCAATTGGGGATCTATCCTCACCAATAGAACTATAGAGGGTTTGTTCTCCTCAAAACCTTTTTGATGATCTTACGAGTAAAAAGCTTTTCACTCAGGGAGCCTATCCGTTAAATAGAACTACAAGGTCTATTCACAATTAACCCTTTATTTTATCTCAAGTACTACATTCTTGATCTGGATTTTTGTTGCAGAGCACCGCTTAAGGTACAACTCGGATATGTGCTTTACCGTATCAATTTAATGCATTCCTCTGGGATATATTAATATCAAAAATTTTCAGCATTATGTCATTTTCTGTTGATAGAGAAGTTCCTCCAGCATGTCATTTGTAGCTTGTTGTTCTTGCTATTGAAGATGATTTAAATTAATGCTCCAGGTTGCTATATTTTTTCATGTATAACTGTTGATAATTCTATCTCAATACAGTTGCTTTCAGAATTGTCGTCTCATATGTATTTATTGCAATTTCAAATTGTTCTTTGCATGATGTATATGTTTTTTTATTTTTTATTTTTATTTCTTTTGGTCAGCATTTTTATATTGTATTTGTAGCATGTTTGTTGTCTTTTATAGTTCTATTCCCTGTGCATTTTTTTAAATTTTGTAAATAGTTACAAATAGATGTTTCTTGAAATTTTGGTTCTTTCCTGGAGAAGAATTTCTCACATGTCAGCAATTTGACAAGATGTTTACTTTTTGATTATTGCAGGCCCACATAAGATCCAAGGAATAGGAGCTGGTTTTATTCCTGGAGTTTTGGATGTTAATCTAATTGATGAAGTAGTTCAGGTGAGCATAGACATTGGTAGCATAACTAATCTATGATGTTGGGATGACCTGAACAAACTTTGATGTTATGGATGCAACATATGGTGAATGATTAAATTAACTCACATTTGCAAGACCTTTAAAATGCGAACTTCTGGGTTAACCTGCCTGTGCAAAATATTTCATTAATGTTGACTAGAAGCACCTCAGCCAATGCATTTAGATTTATCTTTACGAATTTCTGGATCAATTGATGGCCAGTGCATAGTTGCATGCATCTGTGAGTTATGTAGTTCTAGACATGTGCAAGATGGGTGTTATCTCAATACAATACACTTATATTTTGTTATCTTTCTATCCATTGAGAAAAAGTGTTTTAAGCTTCTTATCAGAGGGAACAAGTCCTGATGAAAATATCAGGATTCTAGCATTTTCACTGATCTAACACCACACGGTAGCCTATCCATGAGTTTTGCACAAAACATTAATTTGTCAACTGTTCACCACATAAGTGCTGCTTATAATGGGTAATGTAAAAGCGATTAATGTATGATTATGAAACTGGAGTTGGTGCATACATGATTCACCCTTATTCGCATATCTTACACATGAATATTCAAGGGGTAAATACAAGTTTAAAACCAGTGTTTTTAGGTTTGCGGTGTGATTTGTTTTGTGGAATGGTGGTAAAAATTCTGAATAGCAAGCAGGAAGGAGGAGAGGGTAAGCCTAACTGAATCGGTATTTGGGATCCTGCATTTAATAATTACGTGCATGTTGGGAGAAAGATACATTCACAAGCATTTAAGGAGATAAAATTAAGGGGTAAAATAATATAATCTTCCATCTTTCAGAAAAAAGAAAAAAGAAAGAAAGATAGAAAACTGACCAATTTAATTTAAGAACATAATCATGATTTGAGTGTGTTAAGCAATCAAAGTTTGAACGTCTTAACTTTAAAGCCAGTCTAAATCTCGGACCCTGCAATTGAGTCTATCAAGAGAAGGCTAATACTAAGACTAAATACAGCTAAAGAAACCATTTAAGTCAATAGTTCTTTTCTTTTACTTTCTGGATAACAAGATTTGGTGATCCAGATGAAGAATGTTACCTAAACAGATTAGGTAATATTTTCATCAGGAATTCACGTAATTGCCATTTTATCTGCCATGTTTCACAAAGCAACTCACTGTTTGTTTCATGGTATGTTTTGTCAGGTTTCAAGTGATGACGCTATTGAAATGGCAAAGCTTCTTGCCCTGAAAGAAGGGTTGCTGGTGAGTCCTTTTTCAGAAATACCCGTTATTTAGAAATCTACCTTCTATTTCTGACCATGCAGTTTATGCACAAATTTTCGTGTAGCAATGATTTAGATAATTCATCCTGTCTGCTTCTTCTTATCTTTGGTGTTTATTGCAGGTTGGAATATCATCTGGAGCTGCTGCTGTTGCTGCCATTAGAATTGCACAGCGTCCAGAGAATGAAGGGAAACTCATTGTGGTAAATTACCAGCTAATTTCTGCCTATATGTTGTTTCGTCGTGAAACTTCAGAATAAAAGTCCACCATCTAAAACAGGCTTATTTCAATTATGCTTCCCTAAAGTTTACCCTGTTTAACTTCGATACCCCAAATCTTTTTTGACACTTCGATACCCCAAAGCTTTTTTTTTTTGACAATTTGATACCCCCAATGTTTCAATACCATTTCACTCTGATACTTCTTACTTTCCGTAGCATTTTTCTATGAAAACTGTATCATGCTTAAAACGTGATACATTTAGGTCAATTATATCTCTCTCATGAAAAATAATTCCCCCTTACATATTTATCAATACTTTTTAAACAGAAAATGCAACAAAATCTGGACATGAAATGGGATTGAAGCTTTGGTATCAATGTGTCAGAAAAAACTTTGGTGTATCAAAATAAAAAAAGGGTAAACTTTGGATTACCAAAGTCAAAGTAAGCCATTAAGAAAAGGGCTACATGCACACAGGCCTCCTGCGATATCAGTATTTTCGACTTAATACCCGACCCCTGTATTTTCATTTTGGTAGATGGACATTTTTTTTTGACTTTATTACCCTGGGTGGAATTTTGGGAGATATTAACCCTGGGTGAAATTACTGAGTAAAATATCTGCCAAAATCCCCCCCAAGGGTCTTTCTTTTACACTGCAACTACATGGGTAGCAAGTTCGAAACGAGGATACTATGGGGGTGCAGGATTAACGCCTAACCTTCTCTCCTACATATGCTTGAGAAAGCAACACTTCTATTTAGGAAGTTTTAACTTTGACAAGGACAGTATTTTTGTATTAAAAATCCACTCCCATCTCCAGAATGCTGTGAGTGGGTTTCTTCAAGGTGTAAAGTAAATTTTATGTCTAATCGTTTAAATAGATTTAGCAATGAACTGTTTATGTATTTACATTTAACTGTGTAGAATATTTAGATAATATTTTTCATTCCTTGCTCTGGTTGCAGGTTGTTTTCCCCAGCTTTGGAGAGCGATATCTTTCCTCAGTGCTATTCCAGTCGATAAAGAAGGAAGCTGAGAGCATGGTATTTGAGCCCTAAGCAGAATATGTTTACAACTGGATGTTAAAAAAACAAATAAATAAAAAGGAAGACTGAGAGCATGGTGTCTGGAGCTGTGAAAATAAAAAGGATTTTCTTTATGGCATTCCTTCAGCAGAATCCTCTTATTGTTGTGATTTTTAGATCTCGTAAAAACCCTGAAAATCATCGTTACCTGAAAATCATCAAAACGCAACAAATAGAATCACACGAGATTTAACGCGGAAAACCCTCAACAGAAAAAAAAACCATGGGATCAAAACCAATCTACTATCATCTTCAAATTACAATCTTTTGTACTGACAAAGACTGACAAATATTCTCTTACAATACCCTTGAATTCAGTTACACCCTCTAAAGGTTTGATTATAAGAATATTATCTCTCTCCTTTCTATTTAGTTTTTCCTTCAACAAAAGAAGAATATATATAGGAAAATTAAAACTCTATCTCTAGTCTAACTTCTTAATTAGAATAAGATTTAAACGCCTAACCATGATGAGACTCAATCTTTTAATCGTGATCTTTAACCCTATCTAATTCTCATGAAGTTATAGAAAGAATCAAAAATACAATTTTAACAATTTTCACATTGAATTTGATTTTCAAACTCCCTTGAAAATATATCATCGCTGTCTTGAAACTTTGTCTCTCCTGCTAGAGTCTTTTATTTCTTTCGCACTTTAAATCGAAGCACATGTACTCCTAATTAGAACACCTGCACTCTAACTGGATGCTCCTATGACCCTCATTTTTATTTGTCTCGTTGTGGCACCTTCACCTCTCTTGTGAGCACCAAGAGATCTGTCACCTCTAACATTAGAAGTAAATCAATCATACTTCTCCTCCAAACTTGAACCTGATAGCCTCCCCCACTTGCTGTCCTCGTACTCCACTTGCATCGCTCGTCTCGAATCATATCAGTGCACCTCTCCTACTCCACACTAGATGCATTTATCTCTTCCATCACTTGGCTTGGATCGAATATGAGTGCTCATCGTCTTTAAGTCCAATGTCACCATCTCCATTGTAGGCTGTCTAAAAATCACAATGAATAGCTGACCCCTATCAAGCTCCGACAAGGGAAGTCACAATCAGACGACTTTCTAATCACTGCATCCGCAACTCCACAATCGCCACAAACACGACCTCATTTCTGAGATGATTGATCTTGATGGCTGCGACAACAGCACAACTAATATTATATTAGCAATTATTGGAGATGCTGATGAGCAGTGTAATGATTTTAGAAATGAAAGGTTGGACTTAGTTGGTGAGTTGCTTGGTAGAGAGCTGTGGGCAAATATCCATCTAAAGACACTATGAATGTTGATTCCCGTCAAGTTCCTACAACGAAAGCTACAATCAAATAGCTTTCGCGCCGACAATCGAAAGTTGGTGAGTTGCTTGGTAGAGAGCTGTGGGCAAATATCCATCTAAAGACACTATGGATGTTGATTCCCGTCAAGTTCCTATAACGAAAGCTACAATCAAATAGCTTTCGCGTCGACAATCGAAAGCGGCAAATAGAGGACTTTTCACATAAGATCGAGAAGAGTTACAATTCAACGACACTTCCGACAACTGATGAAAACTCTATTCAGCAGTCTTCACAATCTACGGTGAAAGTTACAATCTGCCGACTTTCACACCCCACAACAGCTAAAGCCAGGATTACTGAACAACGGTCCTCGCAACGCTTCACAGAAGAAGTTGCAAGTCAAAAAGCTTCTTCTGAAACGCGGATGTCATCCCCGCGTTACAACTCTGGAAATGCAGGCAACCCCCGCGTTTCCAAGCCACAGGCCAAACGTGAGTGACCCTCGCGTTCGTAGGGGTTCAACCAACGCCGACCCTCGCGTCTCAAAGCAGCAAGCCAAACGTGAGTGACCCTCGCGTTCGTAGGGGTTCAACCAACGCCGACCCCCGCGTTTCTAAGCAGACAACAAGCCAAAACGCGAGCGACCCTCGCGTTCAATGACGTTCAGCTAACACCCAACCTCGCGTCTCAATTCTAAGAGGCGAAGTTGGGTGCTAAACGCCAGATTGGGCGTTTGACTCGTTCAAACATGAGTCGAATGGTTTCAGAACCGTTTATCCCACGTTCTGAGGGATTTTCGCCCACGTAGGAGCGGATATAGGGGTCAGTTACAACCTCCTATCCCCCTATAAAAACTCAACAAACTCAACTGAGTAAAAGGTTGGATTTTCTTGGCTCAGATCGACCACAGGAGGCTGGCGGCGGGTTGGATCTTTTTTTTGGCATCTGAACCACACAGGCTGGATTCTAAAAGATCTAAACCGTACAGGTTGGAGATTTTCAGTTCTAAAACAGAAGAGCTAGCGAAGATCGGATTTGGAAGATCTCAACCACTCAGGTTTTGGTGATTCAACAGCAGCAGCGAAATCCTTGGAGATAGGATTTTTGAATCAACTCAGAAGATCAAATCTGAGAGGATTCTTCAACAACAGAATAACGGCTTGATCATTAACCGAATTTTCGGTTCTAACAACTCTATTCACAGAGTTCTAACTCGTTCAGAGTTCTTAAACTCATTCAGAGTTAAATATAAAACTTTCCACTGAAGTTCATCATTCCCACGAGATAAGAGACGGTCGGATCGTCAACGGAGAGCAAATTCAACGGGAGCAATCGAAGGAGGCATTCCATCGCTACCGAGAAGAACCCAGTTTTAAACAAAGGAGAGAATCAAAATCGTTCTCTTCTCTTTTGTAATCAAGTTGTAATCGGAATCAAAGAAATATAAATCAATTTTCTTTATTCTTTTCATTGCAATTTTTCCTACATACATCCATCAGCATGTATGTCACTCAGTCGTGCATGCTTGCAAGCTCCACCTAATCTGGCACTGTCTTCCTCGAGTCTACACACCAACCACCTACTGCTCCCGCGATGACTCTGAATAACTATATGATGACAACTCTACTGCTAGAATCATATCTGATTCTCTACGTCAGTCTCATCTGTCGCATACTCGTTTGCCCTATCTGCCATCAAATCTGTCTCGTCATCACCATTAGAACTTTTCAGTACTTTCTGACCAATTTGAGCAAAATCTATAAAATCAAACCCTCTCATCGAGTTTAGAGCACTCTAAAACTTAGGAATCAATTTCTGGATCACTAAAATCAACATGTGATTCAACAATCTATCGGTAAAACTATCTGGACCATCCGATGTGCATCCACAACACCAAACACCAAAAAAAACTCCACTATCAAATCAGCAGGCCGCAATTAGACAATCAGATTACGTGAGCTTCAATTAGAGCTTCTATTGTGGTCTTGGACAATTGCAGGAGCTCGTACAAGGTGATCATCGTAGGGATGTTAGTCAATTGAGCCATGACGTTGAATCAGAAAGGAGTGTTCGATCCTGCAGTCTCCTATTGAAGAAAGTTCTGGCTGAAGCGAAGCTCTTTCTGTTTCTCTTTATCGGTTGTCTTCTTAAGTGCAGAACCCCTAGCCTCCTGGGCTTGTTCTTCTGCTCCTTGAGCATGTTGGCTATAGTTTTTAAATATGTTTTCTCTGATCAGGTGTCAGGGTTATCTCTTTGATCTGCTGCAAGAACAATCATCTCTTCTTCCAAGTCCGTAAGAGGTATGAGATGATCGTCATCCTCATTTATAGAGGGGCTAATCATATTGGATTACTTTTCCTTGCCTCTCTTCTTCTTCGTTGATGCACTTGTCTACTGCTGGTCTTTAATTAAGTCAAGATGGACCCACATGATTTCTCCTTTTGGAGTAGTGAGGGGTACCAAATCTTTATCCTTCTGACCATGCAGGTCAGCATTCTTCATGTGTATTTCTCCCTTAGGGATAGGGATAACACCGTCCGCTACTGCTACAAGAGGAAAATCTTCGAACTGGACCGATATCAAATTGGTGGACACGGTCTTCTGTTCTGGTTTCAGCTTGAATAGATTAGCATCGACCATGTGTTGCAGAATATCCTTGAAGATTTAACATCTCCTCATTGGATGTCCTAGCATTCTATGATACCGGTAGTAGTTAGGATCATCTACTTTCCCTGCTTCTTCAGGTTTCTTCACTTAAGGAAGTTTCAGCTTGTTATTCTTCCGAAGTAGCTAGAATAGGGTATCCACATGTTCCTCCTTGAAAGAGTACTACTTGGGCGTCCTCTGTTGATTTGATGCATTGCCCTGCTTCTCAAGTGGCGTTCGGGTGTTGGTATCGGCGGCCAGAGTCTCCTTTCTCTTGGATCTAGGAGTATTTTCTTGGTTGCGTTGCGCTTGCGACATTGACTTGTTAGCTTCTTCAGCTCTGACTCGGGCAACGATCTCTTCTGCCTGCTCTCCATGTGAGACCAACTGTTTCCAGGAGCGACATTCTGGTACTCCCATTTGAGCCAGGAGATGGATCTGTAAGTTGTGCCTACAAGTTTCCACCAAAATAGATTGTGTCATACCTGATGGGCATCGTAGGGCCATATTTCGGAACCTCTCCACAAAGGTCTTTATGGATTATCCCTTCCTCTGCTTAGTGGAGAGAAGGGTCGGGACCGAGACTTTTGAATCATCTTCAAAGAACCTGTCTAAGAAAAGCCTTTCTAGATCTACCCATTTCTGAATAGACCCAGCAGGCAACTTCCTGAACCACTCGAAGGCAACCCCCTTAAGGGTGCCGATGAATAGGCAATATGGCATCGTTCGCTATCACATCTTCAGTCTACGACTTGAAGTAATAGATGTGTTGATTCGGCGATCCTGTGCCGTCAAAAGCATGTAGAGTCGGCCTTGAATTTCGGAGGATAGGGAGATGTGTCCTATTCTGCGGGATAAGGCCGCACTACTCCGTCATTTTAGAGCTCGCTCTTATTGGCAATTGTGTTGAGACGAGCTTCCAATTCCTCCATCTTGGCCGACTAAGGATTGTGCTCATTTTCACCCCCTTCTCTTCTTCAAAGGTGGACTTCATGCTGTGAGCTTCGTGGTCCGAATTCTCATTCACTTTATCTTTCCCTTTTGACGGTTTCATCTTTCGGGAGGATTCAGCTTTTTAGACCTTTTCTGTGACAAGCTGAGTCATCAGATCTAGCAGTTGATTGAGAGTCTCTTGCTGAGCCTGGAGC